CATTAAAGATAATCAATTTCATTCGACGTCTGGAACACATAATCATGAACCAGAGGAAAAAATGATTTTCAAAAGAACTCTTTTGAAGAAAATGAAAGAGAGAGCATCCCACGAAAAAACTCCAGTGAAGAGAATTTATGAGTAAGTTTTCATTTTTAATATTTAATTAATATTTGTTTTAATTCTGTTAAATTAAAAATAATAGTTACTGAAAAAAATCTTTATGAAAAATGAGAAAAAATAAGAAATAAATCTCAAGATGAGACACAATATAAGTTTAAATTCTACTTTAATATAGTACATATAACTAATGTTTTAAAATATATATTTATGAACTATGTCACGTTTTTTAATTCAGCCAAATAAAAAAGTAATTATTTTAATTTATTGCATTTTTATTGACTTATTTATTTAGTTATTATTTTTTTATTATATCAAGTAACAAAATAATGAAACAATAAAAGAACTTATATTCTCCATCACTGCACATAAAACAGATTTTCCAAAATTTATATATTTATTTTAATTATGTCACTTTATTTCAATAGAATCAGTCATAAATTAATATTAATTCAATTTTTATGAGGAAAATGGTAATTTCATCATAAAAATTGTACCCCCTTTTAAATTTTTTTTTTAATTATAATTGATATCCCCTTTTAAAATAAATTTTTATATACTCCTTTAATGTACAGAAAACATATTCTTAAATATTTATTAAACTATGTCAATTTTTTGTTTTTTATTCAGTACTAATAATTTAGTATATAATAAGTATTCAGTAAATAATATTATTCAGTAAATAATATTATTCAGCATATAATATTATTCAGTGTACAATAAGTACTACATACAATAAAATTTAATTTTAATGAGCTTCATTTAGTTGGACACTTTTTTATTTGTCACTGTTTCAATTGTGTTAGATTTAAATCTAATAATGAATATAAAATGTTACATTTGTTAGGGAATTAGTTTTTTTCTCCCTATTCAGCTTAATAAAATTGTTTTTATTGCCCTTTTAACTTAAAAAAACAAACTGCAGATAAATATTTTCGCTTATATATTGATTTAATCTTAAATTTCAACCTGAACTACATTTTGCATACTTATGTTTAACATTGCTAATAAACTTTTTCTGCAATTTTCCAGTGAAGAGATAGCCGAAGCAGCTTCTTCAGTAAACTCAGCTGTTGGTTTGCCAGAATTCGATTGCATCCACAAAGTGCTGTATAAAGCGAGAAATTTGGAGCAGCCAGCACTTCCAAAAAGTGTAGATGACATAGTCTGGACTGAGAGATATACAAAAACAAAAGATGGGAAAGACTTCTTGCTCGGTGATGATGGGAGCGGAGAAGATAGGTTATTGGTAAGAATATTTTTTCTCTTAGAAACCGATAAAAAATTTTTTTTAAACAGAAGCTTAGAAGTTTTGTGTGTTATGCATTCGTCTTAGAACAAACTATGCATTATACTCATAGTATATGATAACAGAGCAAGTGTGTTTTTTATTACTTATAATTACTGTTTAACAGGTCGTAATATATAAAAAAAAAAAACTATTTATGAATGTGAAATTTTTAACTTAGTTTACATAAATGTATTAAATAGTTTAAACTTGAAAAATTACATCATATAAATTTTATCTAATAAATATCTTTTTTAATATATGTATAAAACATACACAATAAGTTGGCCTTAATATGAGGTTTAAAACCTAGGAAGCAACTTATATATGTTCAAATATCAACTTTTAAATACCTTTCATACCAGATTTTTGATAAATTGTACTTATCTCTCTTTTCAGATGTTTTGCACAACTGATAATCTAAAAAGGATGTGCTCCTCCAAAAAAATTTGGGCGGATGGCACATTCAAGATTGTCCCCCTCCTCTTTCACCAGCTTTACACGATCCATGGATTGTACGAGAATGAAATGTTTCCATTTGTGTACTGCCTCCTTCAAGATAAGAAAAAGGAAACATACAAAAGATTATTTCAGATGATAAAGGAGGAGGCAGGAAAGGTGGATGAAAAGTTTTCCCCGGAAAATGCGATGTTAGACTTTGAATTGGCGGCAATAAATGCCTTGAGAGAAGAAGTGCCAAATGTGTCAGTCAAGGGCTGCTTCTTTCATTATACACAAAATATTTGGAAAAAAGTAAATATTAACTAATTATAAATTTTTTTGCAGCATTCTGAATTCTGTTTACAATCAGAAAAAGTTTTCGGTTATATTTAAGTTCTATTACTATAGCTTAAAATTTTCACTTGGAAATGTTTTCATTTTTTATATGTAATTATTTTTTGTTTCATGATGTTCAAATTCTGTACACTGTTGAATTTGAAATACATCCTCTTATTTATTTTAAACAAGTTGCATCTCATAAACATCTAAAAGACTAGCTATATGTAATATAACTTATTGTATTAACTTTAAATTTTTTCGAGACATTCTTATTTGTTAAATAAAAATATTGTTGTAAAGAATAACATTTTTTAAATAAATTTTTTATGTTTACCTCTAATTGTAAAAAATTTTATATGCTAAAATGCACGGTATAATGTTCAATTTTACCTAATTTAAATAAAAAATTATCTTAACATAAAAAGAAATCCTATGCACCTTTTCAAAAACTTCTTTCATGCTATGCTTAATGTATACTGTTTGGTACTTCTGCATTATACAGACATCCAACATTTGAGACTAAAGTTTTCGGATAAACGCTAGCATTGATTTGATATACCATAGCATATTTTAAGAAGTCAATTTTTAAGCTATCAATCCCAAAAAAATTTTTTTTTTTAAATATTAGCCATTTATAAATTAAAATTTTGATTGGTATTCTTTACTCAAATGACCGAAATTTGAAATGTGTAAATGAATCTTATAACTTAAAAATTTAAATCATAGATTAAGATAAATAAAATTTTTTAAAAAGTTTGAAGGCAAACTCTTAAATGTAAATATTTCTTCCAGGTACAAAATTTAGGTCTGGTGCCAGCATACAAACATGATCCAAAAACATATAAATGGATTAGAAGAATTGCGTCTCTACCGCTAGTACATTCAGAAAGAAGTTTTTCAATGGATAAAAATGCAAGCTCCCATCTGTTATCAACGGGACACAATGAATCAATATGTAGAGAAAACCTACATAAATGCACAGAATGCATTGTTTCAGGCGTAAGTTTTTTTAAAATATTATTTATAAAAAAAGCTATAAGAAATCTTTGCTACTTTACAGCAGAGAATAATTTTTAGTTGTATTAATATTTTTGTTGTGATTTACAAAGTTATTTTAAATAATCCAAGTTAATTCAATATAATCTATGTAATCACCAAAATAAATTCCAATTGATTTTCATAATACGTCAATTCTATAGCAAGTTAAAAATTGTAAAATAAACATTTTTAGGCAAACAAGATTTTATATTCAAGATTAAAAAAAAAAAAAACTGAAGATTTAGAAATAAATTCTTGACAAATGTCAGTTTCCAATAAGCTATAGGCTGTAAATACTCACTAATAATAAAACTTGAATAAATAATAATAATAATTAAAGTAAATTATGTCAAGACAGGTTATCTAGCTCAGATGTATTACACTTTTAATTGTATAAACTTAATATTGACAAATTGAATTTTTTTTTATTTATCTTTTGAGTAAGCTCAGTTTAAATATCTTGATAGAAACTTAACTCGGTTTAGAGCATTGCTTAGAAGAGCTTGAAAAGTCTATGTACTTGGAGGAAAACATTTTTCTATGCTGAATATTTTGTAGTCATTTATTTCTGCTTTTAAGAAAAACAACTTAGCCCCATATTCAGGAACAATTCTAGAGTTTAGGCTGTTGTAACATGAAATGATGCTTTTATGCGAATAATATCCTATTTCTATAAATGCTAAAATCATCAATACATATATAAAAAAAAAAGTTAGATACTGTAGTGTTAAATCATAGTATGACAATTTCATTCATGTATTGTATATAACACAGCTAGATAAAATATGTAATGGCAAATGTTTCTTCTCCTTACAGGGATATATGGAACCATTTCAATAGTGGCAACGACAGAACTAATAATTCAGTTGAAGGCTGGCACAATAAACTAAACATACGAGCACCATCTTCTCATGTTGACATATTCTCGATGATTTCAATACTACAGCAATTGCAGTTTGAAAACGAGGGGCGAATGAATATGCTAGATGCTGGCTCTGCAAGGCCAGCGAAGAAAAAATTAAAATATGTCAACATAAATAAGAGTATTCAATGCTTGAAGGGCAGTTTATTGAATGGCTCAATCACCATTTTTGACTATGTTGATAAAATTAGCAACGTATTAAAGTTAGAATAAAATAAGTCCCCTCTGATAAAAATTAATTTTACAAAAAAAAAAAACAATAACAAATGAGTACAATTAATAAATATGTTTTGACTTTATGTAATAGCAACAATAGTTTTGTTTTATACTTGGACTGATATTTTAAATTAATAGTTTCTGTTGCATTTGAAATTTGGCGCATAACATTTTTCTTAGTTAGGAAAAATATTTACTTTGCAATTTTTTTCTAATAGTAGTTGATTAATATGTAATTTAAAATTATGTTTGATTTCTTCAGAGATAAATGTTTCTAAACCATTTTTTCTTTTCTTTAGCTTGTATATTTATAAAATTATTAAAATGTTTCTCGGATATTAACACTGTTTTCAATAAAGTCATTATCATTTTCTAAAATGTTTTAGTTACATTTTAGTAGCGACTATTTCAACAATTACCTGTGCTGAGCCTTGCAATAAATTGACTATTAATATTAACAATTGTTTACAACTATGTCTAATTATTATGCTTAATTAATAATGCAATTATGTTTATAAAATTGTTTGTCATTGATTTGTTATTTGAAATAATACATACATAAAATTGAAAAATAAATTTTGAACACTTTTTTTTCTATTAAATCTAGTTTCTTAGCTGTCAAACTTTCTTTTCAGCTTTGCAAGAAAAATTCAATCTCAAAAAAAAAAAAAAACTATTTTGTTATTTCTGGATATGAAATGTCATGCAGAGAGCCATACAAAGAAAAAAAATTCAATTTTATAGTGTATTTAAAGTTAAGGTAATAGAAAGAAAAACTGCATGACATAAATAAAATATGACTAGGATTTTCATAGAAATTTATTTGATATACATGGAAAAGATGGGGAAATTTTTTAATCAATAAATTATTTAAATCGTGAAGAAGATTAGTGATTTATTGAAAGCTTGAGTGCTATTTCTGTTAAATATAGTTGCACTACATGAAATATTAAAATTATATAAAGGATTTAGGAAGAAATAAAATAAATTACTGTATTAAATTCGTTAGTACTGAAATATACAAAAGAAAACTCATGAAAACATGCTGATATCAGGCCCAGATGTAGTTTAAAAATTAACCAGTATTTGTTTACCAGCTTAATAAACATGCACCACTTCACTGAATAGACACATTTGCTACTAGATGAGGAATGAATATATTTAAAATGCTAAACACAGCTTTTATGTGATAAATGAAGTCAAGGTTCTGTTGCAAATTATGACTATTCTTATGTCGCATACCATCATCGTAATACAAATTTATCATAATAGAAAATAATTAATTAAATTATTCTTGGTAATATTTCCTTAGACGATTCTAAAAACAATTATTTTATCGTTTACACGCGTTAACTATAAGTAACTGCTGAAAAAGCTGTTATTGGTATCTTGAATAGTAAGACTAAAGTAAAACGTATTTCTTTTTCTCCCAGTTATGCTTATATGAGTAGCATATCTATAAGGAACTTTTATTCTTTTCTTTGTAAAAACAATTTATTAAATACAATTATAGAACGAAGATTTTGAAAAATAACGATTAAATATAAACAAACAGACAAAGCAAATTCGAAGTAAAAGTTATAGTTGTACCAGCTAATATTCCGGTTTCATTTTCCAAATGTGCTTACTTGGAACGTTTAAAAGGCTTATTCTCATTATCAAAAGTGCACGTCAAGCAATCATATGCGTTACTCACTGGCCGTTCCCACTGACTACAGTTTTTTCGCACGTGAATGGGACTGATTAAAGTGTTTTTTTCGGGTAAAATATTTCACCTAACAGGTATTCGGTTACACGTAAATCTTTCGAATCCAGTGCACTTGGAATTTGAAAAATTTTAATTAATATATATGTATCTATTTATTTATACATATAATAAACTAAAGAATTAGTGTGTGTGTCT